GGATCCAAAAAAGTGTCCAATCTGGTCAGTAAGTTTGAAATGTATCTGTGATAATAGCGAATTTTTAACTCGAAGATAAACAGGATTAATTGGTTCTGATACAATTAAATGCCCAGGTGGTACTGTAAATGTGTATAAGATATATTGTTGCTGGGATTGATTGGATTGTTTTAGGTCTGCCGTCAATTACGTCACATACAAGGTTGGCGGCGATCGTGGATGTGATATTAACAGTACCTGGTGATATTTGACGTCCTTCATCGTATGGATTATTGTTCTGTTTGAGAATAACCGCTCTGGATGGACTACTGTTCTCCATTACTCAAGTATTGTTGGAAATATTCATTGATATCAATGAAATTAAGAACTATTAAAGATATAAGATAATATAATATTTTTTGAATATGTGTACCAGGTCGAGGAATCAATTTAAAATTGCAATGTACATTTGTAGCTAAATGTTTTTGCTATTATCAACATCAAAAACAATTTGATTTAAGCGATGAATTATTTCGATGATACTTCTTTGAGTACGCGCTTTAGTGTTGTATTATGCTGTTGATTAAATTTGTAACATCAACAAAATCTCGATCAAACTCATCGTTTATTGCTATTTATACTAATAATTTTTTTTTGTTTTGCAAAATGCTGGAGATCGATCTGTTTAAATTTCCTTCAGATGAGTAATTATTTTAGTACCATCGATAAAGTATTCATTAACTGTCCATATATAAATATTTCGATATTCTGAAAGCCTTATACATATTTTTTATCTGTAATAAATACAGATTTGGTCGGTTCTGTTGGTGCTGTATAAACCTGTACAGCTTCTGGCTATCCTGATACAGTTCTGATCGATGATTGATAAATATCTACATATTAATCTTGTGAGTTGATTTCAATCGCCGAAGAAAACCTTAGTCCGTGAACAACTATGACTCTTTTGGATTCTTTTCTTGCAATAGATTTTATTCTGCGTTGGAATTCATCGTTGATCTGTTTTATTTGGCAACTGCCAGTCGGTATATTTACATCTTGCTAATCTGGGGTTTTGTCGTCTTTGTTTTTGTTTGCAAATACTAAAGAGCTGTTTGAAGATAACCCACCGAATGATTTTGATATAATATTTGGCCAACATTTGGTCTTTGCAAACCCTTCACATCGAGACATGCAAATCAAGAAGATACACAATCAAGTAAAATTCCTAGCATAGCAACGCGATGGCTTCCATAGTTGCAAAGTCATATGTAAAATACAATATCCCCTGATTACATCCAAAATTTCGTGTGTCTTGTTATATACGATGTCTGCACCATCCAAATTACTGAAGAGCTGAAAAATTAAAAATACTGGACATAAAATGCTTCAGAGATCTAACTGGCAATCCAATCAGTTTAAAAGGACACCAATAGATGGACATTTCACATTTCTCGGCATTATAAAAAGAGCTTGTTAGTAGGACACGTTTCATCCACTGACCATGTAAAATGGGGCCAGTAGCAGGACACGATTAATACCCCTAGCCACATAAAAGGATCCCATTAGACATGTTTCATACACTGGCCTCATAAAAGGATCCCATTAGACATGTTTCATACACTGGTCATATAAAAGTATCACAATAGACATGTTTCGTACACTGGCCACATAAAAGGATCCCATTAAACATGTTTCATACACTGGCCACATAAAAGGATCCCATTAGACATGTTTCATACACTGGCCATATAAAAGGATCACAATAGACATGTTTCGTACACTGGCCACATAAAAGGATCCCATTAGACATGTTTCATACAATGGCCACATAAAAGGATCCTATTAGACATATTTCATACAATGGCCACATAAAAGATCCCATTAGACATGTTTCATACACTGGCCACATAAAAGGATCCCATTAGACATGTTTCATACACTGGCCACATAAAAGGATCCCATTAAACATGTTTCATACACTGGCCACATAAAAGGATCCCATTAGACATGTTTCATATACTGGCCACATAAAAGGATCCCATTAGACATGTTTCATACACTGGCCATATAAAAGTAGGCATTAGCTGGACATGTTTTTTCTCCTGACTAAAATTCTTTTCAAACTAACCAGAAAATCCCACGGAAAAAACAAGCCTTCGCAAAAAGAGAATGAAAAGCTTACTGGCGTAGTAGAACTGGGAAGTTCTGTAAATATTGTATGTTATAATGTTCCTGTATAGTTATTATTATATTCATTTATGTCATTTAGAAGCCGTTTTCTCAAACTTGTTATTCTAGTCTATTAACTGAACATGAATGTTTAGTCGATGACCTTAAATAACACACTATGCACATTTCTTGTCTTTATTTCATTACTTGCAAGCAATATTATCAGAAGAATTTATTTTGTCGTATCTTTAGTCAAGTTTTATTTCTAGCTTTTTGACATAAATAAACATAAAAGGAGACCTATCTGGCGCCTAACACTGATTCAATTATATGGACATGAATTGAGAAAAAAGCTATGCTACAAGAGCAGATAACAACTTATGACCATGACTTTAATTCTGACAAGATTATTACTTGGCAAAGATTTCATTTTCTTGGTTATTATTATGGCACCAACCTCTGATGATCTTTTGCTTTTATACATGACACTTTCCTACAGTAGGCGCAGCATTTCTTTAGTGATCTCAGTGTTTTTCCTTACTTTTCCACAGTTCATCTCTGAATGGCGCGATGATCTGCAATGTGGTCATGTAAGCAATTTATTAAGCTTTTTTTGACACCACTGGAGCCACCCTCTTCTTCTGACATCCTCATAAAACCACACCATTTAAAGCATAACGCGCCTTTGTGTTCATTTTGTGCAGGACTGTTCTTCGTGAAGTTAGTTTTTTGGAAAAGGATTAGTAGTTGCTTAAAGCGGTCCATTTGCACTGTACTTTGTTTTATTACTTCTCTAATCACAGCTTTTACCTCCGTCCATAATATTTCCACGTATTTTTCTCTGTCATTCATCTCATATATAGTTCAAACCGTTCATCACTATTTAACCCATTCCAGATGAAGTTCGATATCGTTAAATAGAACATACACATTGCTTTCAAAGCTTAATTGATTCGTGGGTTGATTCTCAGTGAGCATACAAAATGTTTGTTTGTAAGAGATACTCCAATTTATTTTGATTGTTTTGTAGTAAAAATGTACTTGGTGATGATCATCCCTTTATTGTCAAGATTAATAACTAAATCTTTTCAATTATAAAGGTAAACAAATACGACAGCGTTGATAATTACTTTTCTCTTCTGAGACTACTGCTTTTCGATTTTGCCATTTATAAAAATGACGCTTTCGTGGCCGCAATCAGGATAATAATATCGATTCTCATTTTTTTATTGATGAATAAACACATCCGCTGTAAAGACTATTGGAGGAAGGGGTCCTCTTTATGAATGGCTTGATAATAAACTCTGTAGAATATGAATTGCCCAAAGGTAACGCGCGATTAGTATTGAAACTTTGCAGTTCAGAATTCACTGCTTTTTAAACGTGCAGGGCGCAAATGGTTATCCATTCAATTGTTGGTGTTTTCTTTGAGTTTTAGAGATTTTCTTGTGTTTCTTAGTTTATCACACACATATTATCAACATCTAAAGAAGACTCGGTTTTCAGAACTTCTTGTACGATGCACTTCAGATCAGTTGTGTCTGACATTTTCTTTTTTCTTTGAATCTGATCATAGTGGTGACTGCTTTCAAAGTTAAGAAACATTATATTGGGGACATAGTCTAATGTTTACAGACACAATCAGAGAGAGAGAGAGAGAGAGAGAGAGAGAGAGAGAGAGAGAGAGAGCAGTAGTAGTATATACCACTTTGAGACCCAAACGAAAAATTAACATCAGATCCCCATGCTGAACTTTATAAAGTAAATATTTCACATACCGAGTTTTTTTCTGGTTAGAAATGGTAGCATTATAACATATTATATCCCATTTTGGCGGGAAAGTGGCTTCTAACTGAAAATGATGATTTCATCGTAACATTGTTACGGATATTGTCAGCATATTTTATGTTTGGTCAGTATTAGATAGGGCAGAATTTCTGGCTTGTCTCATACTTGGTTCTTAAATTTTATGCTAATTTTGAGTCTGTCAGGAAGATAATCAGGATGTACAAATTGTCAGTGAACGTTGTGTTTCCTTCATTATCGCATGAATCTATTTTAGAATCCACCTGTGACAGTAAGGACTATCAACAATTAGCAGCTTTGTTCCTTACGATATTGTACGCGACATCAAATTCAATCTTCGCTTAGTCAATCGGTAAACTAAAATACTGCTAGAATCAGTCAGTCACTTTTTTTAATTGGAACGAGAGATGTGTTTCCACCTAGAATATGAAACAAATTGGGAAGAAAGGAGAGGGAAAGAGTTTCAACTATGTACACGAATCCGCGTTGATCTTGTTTGGGTCAGTGGTCAAGACAAATTGATTGATTGCGGACCCCACATTTTAGTCATGCATAATCTTGAATGGTGGTCTCATTGCCTTCCGTAGCATAAACAAAATGAAGATAATGCTGACTAAAGAAATCTATTTTGACACGTCTGTGTTGGACTTGGCCGAGCTTTTATGTACGAATTTTTATGATATAATTAGGTATATTACTACTAACGATGCATATGCCCATCTGTATGAAGCAACGCTAGATGACAAATTCCTAAGGGAGAAGATATTCAGTGGATTATCCATTTTTTTAGCAATAACAATGGAAATGACGTGTGGAAGTTTAAGGACGAAGGCACGGAAAAATCCAGTGAATAATACGTGGGACTGAATTCCAAAATGTACTAGACGATAAAAAAGGAAAAAGCCTTCGACTACCTAAGACTACATGCCTAATACCTCAGACTGATGTGCGACTCGCAAAAAAACTTCAATGTTTTTCGGTCGTGACCTCACTGACGACGGAAACGGAAGCGTAAGCACGACAATTGACCAGTTTTTTTCCGGACTGCTACTGTGGCCTAGTGGTTAGAGCGTCCGCCTCGGATGCGGGAGGTCGTGGGTTGGATCCCCGGTCGAGTCATACCAAAGACTTACAAAAGTGGTACTAACAGCTGCCTCGATTGACGCTAAGCATTAAGAGGTTAGTGTTAGGACTGGTTGGCCTGGTGTCAGGATAATGCGATTGAGTGGGACATCATGCTACAAGTCTGCGACATGACGAACCGGTGATAGACATCACTATAAACTGCCACACTGCAGATATCGTAGCGATATGACTGAAATTGTTAAAGCTACGTTCAAAATCATAATCACATCACATCATCTCATTGACTTACGATAAAAATAAGAAAGTCAAACATATCCGAAGTTCTTTTATGTAGGATGATCTTGCATCTATTATTCCCCGACAACCAGACATGGGACTCACTTGGGTATCATACTTGTTAACGCCTGGACATCGTTTGTGATTCGACTCGTACGGAATTGTACCGTCACGTGAAGTGGTTTGATTATTTACGTGGTAGTGGAAGCGGATCGTTTGAACGACAAAGGCCTCTACCTCTGTTTTATTTAACATCACAAACACGGATTGAAGGGCTCTAGACTCGAAGCATTGCATGCATTCCAGAGTTCACTAAGAGCACGCGAATACAGTGTTTCAAGTTTATTATATTCACTCAAATTTTAACTTGGTGAGGGACAAACAAAAGTCTATCATAGGCACCATCTTGGTGTATTAATACCTACTCGAGTTATATTGGTAAAATAATCTCGTTGAGGTTAAATTTTCAGGTATGTGACTATTCAGGTATGTGGCTCAACACAGTCCCGATACAATTAGTAGTAATCAGTATTCGGTGACTAATGCGAATAACATGGTTAGCATGGACTGGTGTTTGATTTACATAAAAAATGAGTAAATGTATGCCGTTGTATATCAACATGCATGTAGCATTGTATTGGTCTGACTGAAACAATAGTTGATGGTCAATAATTTCACTTCCCATATAGTATGAGTTTCTCCTTGTTTATCTTTATTCTGTTTGTCGCAATTTTTGGGTCCATCAATGGTACAATTCAAAATTATGTCTTCAGATACATGTCAGTCTATACTCCTAAACGGTCGTCTTCGTTGCATAGGTGATAATTTCCAGGTCAATAGAAAATATCGGTATTGAAGTAAGCAAAACGGTCTCGTATAAACTACATTGCGGTGTACCATTTGACGGGATAAACTCTTTTAAAACTCTGTTTATTTTATCTTGAGCAGACGCATTGAAATATGAGTTCAGCGTGATTTATCATCAGATTTTGCAAACCACTCGTTATCTTATATTTGATTCCGTGTCATTGAAAAAGGTTTGATTATTACTACGGTAAGATAGATATTCATTTATATTTTTCTTCAATCAATCTCTTACAGACTATTCTTTGTAAGATTTGGCTTTCTCATATGGCACAGCTCTTTCCTTTGCTAAGAAAATTTTAAATTAAAATATAATTAGTTGCTGACTTTATTTGGAATAGGTAAATCAAGTATCGATGTCTTTATTATCGTTGTTTTATAAAAGTTATTTTATTCAATATACATTTCACTTCTTGCTCGCATATGAAAACACATTTTATTACATTAACTATTTTGATTGTTATGGTTAGATTTCAATGTATGTCACTATGTTTATGTTTGTTTTATATCAGAAAATTTAACCTTAAAATTCGGAGATATGAGGAAGAAATCAATAATCCCCCAAAATTAAATAAAAATTAAAGATATACCAAAACAAATAATAAATTTAAGAAAAAAAGTACCAAAAGGAATAATTTTTAAAAAATCCTTGCAAAAGCTATTTAACCTTGAACTCTGCCGTACAGTTTTATTCGACAATGCAACACTTACCATCCTCAGAGTGAGGTCACCTTGCACATTGAAGATCATTTTCTATGATCCTGTTGAGAATTCCGTGTATTTCCTCTAATGTGAACTGCGAAGGTTGCTATCTTGCATAGTGAATCGCCTCTAGATATTTGATATGTGCAATAGTTTAACATGTTCTCTTGTTTAAGAGATGTCAACTCATGTACTGGGCACCGATTTGATGCCATCTTATCTTGATTCAAGAAAATGCAGCCCATTCCACTGTTATGCTAGTGAATATATGTGCTACGCTTTTTCTTCTTTTTGTTTGTTTGCAATATATCCCATGTCACGTTTACAGCAGGTTAGTTCTGAGAGTACTTTTTTATTGTTTACGTGGCCTTTTACTTGATTCTGTGCCTGGCTAAGCACATATGTATTTAATATTTTACCTTCATTTGATTATGTAAAGTCTCTGTTACATTTGTCGTATGTTTAATTTATTATATTTTTAATTTATTGACCTATTTCATCCTAAATCTTTTGGAACTGATCATTTGAAATAGGAATGTATAAGTTGATTTGCTTTTTATGTGACATGCTATAGATACTGAGGTTATTTTTGTTCGCCAGATACGTACAGACAATACCTTGCCAGATTTAACGCAGTCCGATTTAATTTAAACGTGGGCTCTTTCTTGTCTCGTTTTTCCCTTGAAACAAGAACTGTCCATTTGAAACATCATCGTACTACACGAAATGATAATATTAATGTTGGAAAGCAGAACAAGGTGTGCCTATGTGTTTTCGTACACATCAGGAAGGTAATAATACATCTGAATGGCTGTAAAAGATGTGATTGTGTGTTCGAAAAGATTTTTCTCAAATAGTAGCTCATTTCATTGGAACAAACTTTGAACTCCTGCGCTAGATGGTAATACACATTGTAGAAAATAGAATAGGGTTAGCTCATTGTCATCGCAAATTAAAATGACGAAAGTAAAGTAGGTTGGCAGATGATATTTATTGACAATACAGTTCATGCATGATATTACTACAACTGTTTTAACCCCATATTTTAATGACAATTTTTTTTCATACCTGCTGACTATCATTGGTAGAATATATGTTAATATACTGTCAATAATACGGAACTCTCCTATTAAATTGCCCATATCATATTTTACTCCTCGCAGATAAGGTTATATCTGATCAAGAATTTGTTTAATACTTGCTGTTTTCAAGCATATTTTTAGTCTCAAGTCGTAGCTGAATTTTATACACGATGTTACGAGAGAAACCAACGCCGGATATTATTAACAAAACGGATATAATAATGCCCTACTTGAAATTATACCAGAACTAGTCTTTAGCAGCAGTAAATATGATATTAATGGAAGAATTTTGCTATAGTATTTAAAACATGTTTCTCCCACCAAAGTTTTTTTCTTTAATGATAATATCTGTAATATTGCATTAGTGCGTCCATATCTTGTTTTGGAATTACATCTAAAATATGATTGGAATTGATGATTTTGTTTTTAAATTATGTAATTTACAGATTTTATACAATATTAAAAGCTCAGGTACCAATAATGGAATCAAGAAAAGCACGAAACTTATTGTTATGATCACCCATAAAATCTCTGTACTTTTCATAAACATCTGACGGAGTATCATTAAATAGTTTATCTGTTAGTAAATCATTTTTCTTTAACCAAATAAATGAATCAAACGTATGTGATACTTCACGCTCATACCAATCTGTTTCGTTCACCTGTAATCTCTTTCTGTTTCATCAGTATACTCTAATACCAAGCTTATTTGATTCAAAGTGAAATGTTTGAGAACAAGATATTTTCTGATGATTGTATAAGCAACAACAAAATTTGCTAGCATTAATTTTGTCAGCTTCTTTAGTATAATTGTGGGAAGATCATTAACAGTTTCTACCTTTAACAATATATATATTTCATATGGTTTTGTGAGAATATTCTCATATTCATTGTAATAAAATTGCAATGACAGTTATCTAGAGAGTTGAAAATAGAATATCATCTTGTTCATAAGAAACAATTTTTACTTTCAAATTTGCTTTTCTTACTTCATCAAAAAACTTTCTCGCTCAATATTATTAAGATTACTAATTTCATCAGCAAAATTTTGGAATTTCTTTAGAGGTATGCTAACAATAATCGAATTAAAATATACTTATTTACGAATCAAATTGCAAATTGCATTTTCTTACACTTTAATAATTAACTCCGTATACAAAGTAATAGTTACAATTTTAATATCGGTTTCTATGTCATGGTAGTATATGCGGAAATAATTAAAAAATGTTCTTGTTTTAAAAAGCTATTATATAATTTCCAGTTTCTTTTTATTCCTATTATCCTAGATTCTGAGACGATTATAGCTATCGCTTATTTGTTTTTCCTCCGTGTTTTAAAAAGCTATTATATAATTTCCAGTTTCTTTTTATTCCTATTATCCTAGATTCTGAGACGATTATAGCTATGGCTTATTTGTTTTTCCTCCATGTTTTAAAAAGCTATTATATAATTTCCGGTTTCTTTTTATTCCTATTATCGTAGATTCTGAGACGATTATAGCTATCGCTTATTTGTGTTTCCTCCGTGTTTTAAAAAGCTATTATATAATTTCCGGTTTCTTTTTATTCCTATTATCCTAGATTCTGAGACGATTATAGCTATGGCTTATTTGTTTTACCTCCATGTTTTAAAAAGCTATGATATAATTTCGGTTTCCTTTTATTCTTATTATCCTAGATTCTGAGACGATTATATCTATGGCTTATTTGTTTTTCCTCCATGTTTTAAAAAGCTATTATATAATTTCCGGTTTCTTTTTATTCCTATTATCCTAGATTCGGAGACGATTATAGCTATGGCTTATTTGTTTTACCTCCATGTTTTAAAAAGCAATTATATAATTTCCGGTTTCTTTTTATTCCTATTATCGTAGATTCTGAGACGATTATAGCTATCGCTTATTTGTGTTTCCTCCGTGTTTTAAAAAGCTATTATATAATTTCCGGTTTCTTTTTATTCCTATTATCCTAGATTCTGAGACGATTATAGCTATTGCTTATTTGTTTTTCCTCCATGTTTTAAAAAGCTATTATATAATTTCCGGTTTCTTTTTATTCCTATTATCCTAGATTCTGAGAAGATTATAGCTATGGCTTATTTGTTTTTCCTCCATG